GAAATGAGCAAGAAATGTTTGTACCAAATTGTAGCTCTGCGTACCGTTCGATCAAGGAGCAAGTCTCCTTATTTAAAGCGCTTGCGGACCCCAATCGCCTCGTGATATGGAATCGTGCAATCCCCCGCTTCGACCGCGAGCTCCAGCCCGGCGATTGTGTTTGCGAAAACCATTCTAGTCCATTCCTGATTTCCAAGACCTATTACGTGGAACACGAAGGAAATGTACTGCTGAACTCACCGAAAAGGTCAGTACTCTCGGCAGGCGGTGCCATCGATTTTTTTTTAACTGTCCAAAGTACTTGTCCTGTGGGCGTCTTCCAAGCCGCCAAGGCGCCGAAGAAGCGGACGCTCGTTTTTCGTAAAACTGCAAAATGACGTTTTTCTCAAATTGAGTCTAGCGTGGCGGCGGTAGTCGACACGTCGACACCACCCAAGCAGCCGTGCCTCCGGCGACCTTTCCCGGCACTAAAACAAGTAGCGCGAAGGAAGGTGTGGGGAAAAATTAGGAAGCAGAACCACCAGTGACTCGCTGCCGCGGAGGAAGAGAACATCGTCGCGGGCGCGGTGTTCACGGCAGCATAACCACCAGTGACCCAGGCCGCGGAGGAAGAGAACATCTTCGCGAGCACGGTGTGCACGGAAAGCGAGCGTTGCAAGACCCTCTCGGAAGCTGAAGGCCCTTCCCTGTCGGTAACAGAGCACTTGATAGTGGACAGAGGCACTCTTCAACATTGAATTTGCACTCGAATCTCCGCCGACGATGTTTTCTTCTCGTTGCAGAACGGGGCACTTCAAAAGAGTTTGTAAACCTCCTATTCTTTCCGACCGAATCGCACATACGGAAGCTTCCAGGAGCATTCCTGGCGCAATTTTCAAAAATACGAATCTCTCCCCTCCCCTCCCCCCCCCCCCCCTCGGTAAAGCGCGACCTACATTGAAGAGTACTGGAGGCGAGAGTAGGAGTGAACATTCTTTGGTCGCCCTCGCCGAGGAGTGTCTTCACCTAACCTTCTTCCTTAAGGTCTGTTCACACGGTGCATCTTTTAGGCGCGCAACAGTTTCGCGACACCCAAGTTTCGCGAAATATGCTCGTTCACACGTACCGCTTCACGTGCAACAACGATGACGTTTAGACTCACGAAAATAGTTTGCGTGTTGACCATAAAGTGGCGCTTCAGTTCAAAGCCAACATCATCATCATCACCATTAGCCATTCAGCGTCGTGTTCTCCATCTCCCGCCACATTCTAAGAGTCAAAACGCAGGCGAGCTGGTGAACAATAATAATTAAGAAATAAAACCTTAAGACAAGGAAATAAAAAGGGGCATACACACCACCGTCTTAAAACCAGCACAGCATACAGCTGTCATTTACTTCCATTTACTTAATTTACTCTTAAATTGTCATTTAGTAGTTGTTGAATTGTCATTTACTGCCATTTACTTTATTTACTGTTGAATACGTATAATTTGGATGGAGGTTGACAAAGAAGAAGTCTGTTGTGAAAGTAAATGAGAGCTATACGCTGTGCTGGTTTTGAGACGGTACTGTGTACGTCCCTTTTTGTTTCCTTGTATCAAGGTTTTATTTCTTAATTATGACTAAAAATAGACGCGAATTATCATCATCACCAATTACGTCTTCGTCCATCGCTGGATTTTTTTTCGATATGCTACTCACTTTTTCTTCAGTGGTGCTTGACGTGCTTACGCAAGCGCCGGCAGTATCCATCGTTCGTGGTTTCGTTTTTTTTGTGTTTTTTTTTTCGGATTTGGCTTGGCTACAACACCGACAGTGAAGTGGTCTTCTCAAACAGCTCGCTCCCCCCTCAAAGGCCACGTGAGAGCGTTTCTGAGCGGCCATTGGCGGCGCTCTCAGAATGATTGACAGGACTCGGCAAAGTTTCAGCAAAAGCTCGCTCCAGAAGCGAGGTGTGCGCGCAACTTTTTTTAGATGCGCGCGTCCTTTTCGGGCTCGTTCAGACGGCGCAACCGTTTCACGAAACTACGTTTCGCGACACTGGATGCGCGAGAAAAATGCATCGTGTGAACGGGCCTTTACACCGTGCTCCAGATAGACGAGCCTAGGTGATGTGGCTGTGATGTCATGACCCTATCGACCAATCAAGATTTTCGCGTCGCACGGGCTTTTCTGGCACGGCACCGAGGCCGACGCGACACGAGCTGCTATCGCGTTTTCGCGTCACGCCGGCTTTTCTTAACGCTATCGCGTTAAAAGACGTATAGTTTCACTCCACCGGACACAAGTGCGAATTTACAGAGGAAGACAAAGATCGGTCGATGTCTAACAAAAATCAGGAGCCAAGTTACTATTTTATTTCGTATCACTGAACATTAAAAATTACAAGTATATTTAGGGGAAAGGCAATGAAACCTGATACAATGAAACCTGCTGCAATGAAAAGACAAGGTTTACTACAGTGTGTGCCTAATCCCCAAAAAAGAGGAAGAAAAGGGCCCTTGGAATCAGTAGGACGCATCCGTGTGTCTGGAGGCCGGTATAATGAGTCTCGCTAGGGTCGTGACCGACAGGAGTCCGAGGGAAGATTTGAGGCGGTTCCGATCGCTATCACCGTTTCGGAGGCGTGGACAACGTGGGGCCTCAGGCGGACACCGCAGCCGCCTTCACAACTCTTCGAGGCTGCTGACCAGCTCGGAAGCTAGTGGCAGAGAGGTGGACAACGGGGCAGCAGTCGACGAGGACTTCGTGGAGCCGCTGCCCAGCAAGAAGCTGCAGAAGGCGAAAACGCGACCCCCGTCCAGTCGCCGCAGGTCGTGTGGTCGACTGCACTATCAATCCGACCAAGTTCCCGAGGAAGAGGCGCAGCTGCTTCGTTCTCGATCACCAAACACGCTCCTTCGTGCCAGATCAGCCAGCTACGAGAGTACGTGGTCACGGCGTGAATGTACCGATCCAAAGCACCAAAGAGCTACATGTGATAAGTCGCAAAGCCTGGACACTGTCGAGCATAGCCTGAAAAAGCGTAGACGTTGTCGAAGCCTCGAGGCCACTGCGTTTTCAGACATGACTACTCTGTCCGCAGCCACTGAGCATGAAGAGAGGAGCGACGCAAGATTACGTTTAACAGGCATTCGCCAAAGACAGACCCTGGCGGAGCCGTCTTTGTTGCCCCGAGCAATCCAAAGTGGCAACGTCAGTACCTCCCGCTCCAGAAAGGACAAATTCCAATATTCAACTTTAAGCGTTCAAGGAATTCAACTAGACCAGGTGGATTCCGTTCAAAGCAACAGTCAAGCAGCGTCCACGTCTCAACCTCGAAAGTGTGTGGAATCAGGACACTACTATCATGAACTTTCTAATGATCGAAAAGAAACGAGAAGCCAGCTGTCAGTGTCAGATCTCTTCGACATCGACCATCGACAGCTGACTTCAGACATAATATGGACAAGCACGCCAAATGATTGCACTGGCACCTCGAGATGTGTTTCACCAGTATGGTCGGATAGCTTAGAATTCAGGATGGAGAAAGCGATGAAGGCTTTCATTAAATCGAACAGCGGTCCGGGACAAACTTTACCATCGTGGCTTGAATTAGACAGCGACACGAGTCTTTCCGCGTCTTCAGCTGGTGGTATGTCGCAACTCTCGGGGTCGGGGTTCTATCCTTTTAGGAATATTGATGAGGACATTGCTCTTATTACGCTCTCTTCAGTTAGTGGTGCCACAACAACAGAAGGCGCCAAAACAACATCTATCAACCCTGAAACTGTTTTAGATACTCCCGCGAGCTTACCGCGTAAAAGTGATAAAGCTGAAACCGTTTCAACTCTACAAGACTGCGCTCATGCTCCCGACATTAGCAAGGAAACATATCAAGGTGTCGGTGATTACTCGCACGTTCTTTCCCAATCGGGCAAATCATTGCAACCGATGCACGAGCGAACATCTCCTGGACTCGGAGAGTGTTGTATAGAACTTCCTCCTGTCCAGGCCTACACATTCCACAGCCACAGTGTGCGAAAGGGTGGCTTCCCCAAAAAAGCTGGGCAAGCACACGCCACCCGGTGTGAGGTGCCGGCCAATGTGCGCCAAGAAACTAAGACCTCTTTCAGCTTTGACATACTCTCTAGATCTTCGAAAGGGCCGAATGATTCGCAGTCTCCCCTACTTGAACGATCTGCCTCTTGCACGATGGTCAACATAAATCAAGACGGAAAGCATCTGAATAAGGTGCTCAGACCAACAGGAATCAGCGACTCCCTTCCACTGTACAAGGCAGATAATGCAAAACGCCCGCAATCAGCTCCTCAAGTAGGGGTTATGGATTCTCCTAGCGTTGTTTTCAAGAAAAGCAACAGCACTAGGACACTTGAAGAACCTCCGACTGTAGGGTCACAGCAGCCATTCAAACTCATCACACTGTTCAAGCGAAAGTTGCTGATGTACCCATTCATTGCGCTACTGGGTTTGGCATTAATATATGCTGGCACATCCACGTTCTTTCAGAACTCAAAACTTACTGAGCCTCTACGCAATCATTCTGAGCATACATCCAGAATATTGTCCACGGGATATCACAACGCTTCCAAAGATGACTATGATACGTGCTCCACCATCCCTTGCAAGCGGATTGGAGCCTATCTGTATGGCCTGCTGTCCTGGCATCTAGACCCTTGTGACAACTTTTTTCGGTTCGTCTGCAGTCGCTGGAAAAGCGTCGCTAGGGCCACCAACACTGACCTGAAACTTGATGTCTCAGCCACAGTTTGGGACGATCGTAGCTATCACATGGAATACAGCGTGCATACACTTTTGCAAAGAAGCAGCACTGCGGATGGCCTAACACCACTCAAACGACTCTTCTATCAGTGCATGAATACGCGCCAATTGGACACTGATGACTGGGCACCGATGGTCGAACTACTATGGCTAGTCGGCCTGGAAGGTTTTCCATTTAGCTCTTCCATACCCCGAAACAGTACCTCAATCTGGACGGTGGCCGCCAAAGTGCTGAAGATGACAGGAGCCGAACCGCTATTGAGCGTGTCCACCTTGGCACATCCGTCGAAGGTGAACGCGAGCATCATCAGCGTTGGTCCGCCCGATATGTTGGCGCCTAAAGGCAGCTCTCAGCAGCAGGCAACGGTGTTCTACAACAATACAGCCTTCGTCTGCATGACGGCGCTCAAAAAACAGCGCAACCCGTCTATCTACTCGCTCGAAGTGGCCTCTCTTGCATGGCGTCTCGAGCAGCTCGTCGACACGCACATTGTAATGTCTGGACTGCCGAAGTGCCGTATAGAGCCTCTCAAGACGCAACCCGAAGTTTCTAGTTTTCTTGGTGAGATTTTTCCTAGCAGCGGCTCGGCGCTATACACTGGTAGCCTCACAGAAGTCATGGTCCGCTCACCGGCCTTCCTCGACACCCTGATTAGCCTGGTACACTCTACTGAACCGTACATCTCCTTGAACTATATCGGAGTTAGGTTGATGATTGCGGTGGCTCCTTTCGCGCCTTCCTCAGGCCGTCTTCTCGTACAGACTATGGTGAAACACCAGTATGGCAAAGCACGACCCTTACTGCCCCGCTGGAAACTGTGCATCCGTGCAGTAGAAAGGGCGATTCCCGAGTTGTTTTTGCACGCAGTGCGGCTCGCCTACAAGACCCAGTTCACCATGGACTCTGTGCAGAGGCTGCTGGATTCCGTCAGGCAGTCGCTTGCCGGTGACTTGGCCAAACTGGCCGTGCTTGATCGAGAATCGCGCGCCCAGGCTCTGTCACTGCTAAATGTTACGCAGTTTCGACTGTTTTGGCCATCATGGCTGACTGACAAGGAAAAATTGGAAAGCTACGTGAGCGCATTGCCTCGAGTCGTGCGAGGTGAGAACCTGCGGTCCTTTCACGCGCTTCACAGTCACAGTTTCGCCCAGAGGCTTCGTCGCGATGAGTCTGACCGGTGGCAGGGTTCAGCTTTTGACCACGACTGCAGCTATGACGGAAAGGTGGTGTTTGTGCCTGTCCTCCTTTTTAACTTTTCTTCGTTCCACCGTGGCGCTAACCTGAACCTAGAGTTGCCACACGCCGGCGTGCGCCTTACTCGTTGCTTGCTGCAGCTGCTCCTGGCGAACATCTCTCAGGGTGCGACTGCCGCCGGTGGACGCCTCTGGTGGCCCGATATGGCGAGCTCGTTCCTAGCCGTCTCCCAGCTCTGCTTCCAACAGTACGGCCTGCCACATGTCAGCTCCCTAGAGTTGCTCCAGTACACGGCCGCCGTCAAGCCCGCCATGGATTTGTACCAGCAGGACAAGCGCATCGATATTCGCTTCGAGAAGCTTCCAGCTTTCACTGCCGTGCACCTGTTTTTTGTCTACTACGCCCTTTCTTTCTGTCAGGAGTCAAAATCGGACAACGCCACCGAGGTGGCTAGTTATCTGACCAACGTGCCACTCTGGAATAACCGACAGTTTCAGGAGACTTTTCGTTGTCCTGTTGGTTCCAACATGAATCCTCTCAATAAGTGCGTTCTCTGGCGGGAAGCTCACTAGGTAGTCCGAGAAGCTGGATTGAGTGCAAGCATACCCCATCTGGTTTTTGTGAACGTTCGTCGGTGTGTTTTTGCTTGAACATCTTTATTTTACCCCAGCTACAGTAGTGTCGGCGTTGACAGCAACCGCGTGGATAAGATATATACTCCTTGAAACTTGAAGGAATTCTTGCGATGCCATTTTTAGGACGCTGAAGTCCTGAGAATTTGCAAAAGATTAATAAGGTGTCGTAAAAAAACAAAACAGAACCGCAGTAGTAGAATCCTAGCTGTTTGGTGTACACGTTGAAAAGCGTTAGGCGTTCTGCAATGGTTGTCACTGTGTCAAGTTGTGTATATGAGAATCATGGTTAAAAAGACGCGAAATTAAAGCTCCTAACCTTTACCATCGCATTGCGTGTGTGCGTTTAATAGTGTTGGTGTCTAAGAACGTACATAGCCTCTCATAAAATGAGAAGCGCGCTGGTGGTAACTTGTTCTGAACACGATCGGCTGTGATGAAATTGGCATCTATACCTTTTCTTTAATAACTAATACAAAAATAACTAAAAAGGAGACATTGTCTGCTACTATAGCAGCGCCGGCTACTTCCTTTGAACTTGAGTGATTAGTGTCCATTTCCTTGAGAGTACACAGTTGTCACATAAATTAAACACTGCACAGAACACCCTAAAAATATACCCACTCCAAGTTATAAAAGTACACTATTTACATGAGGGTGCAATGATTTGTCATGCTATTTGTATATACTTCCTACACTCAAACGTACGTGGTGTACTGTACAATATTCACTAAAGGGGCCGGTATGCACATTAAATTTTTCAAACACTTTTTTTACATTAAAAGCTCATTTTAGCGCGATAATATAAAAAACAAGGTATATGAGTATATATAATATACATAATTTCACAGTTGAAGGATGTATGTAATGTAAATTGATCATATAATAATGTTTCTACATTAATGCCTCGTTTCTGTTCTTCTTGATGAAGATATGTAACTCTCAATAACTGTCCGCTATTTTAGTTTCCAAGATGAAATCGCGTAAGGCAAACAGAACCCTCTTTTGTAGAACTAGGTTGGCCAAGGTCCTAGCGTCTTTTCTAGCGACAAGGGGCGGTCGCCAAGTACCATGAGCCGTAAATTTAGCTCTTTTCGACATGTTACGTATCTCTAGCATTCTAGTAGGAGATGAGTTTCATCTTCGACCGACTCTCCAATGATTATTCTGGAGATTCTGCGCGATGGATGCGGTATAAAAAATCTAGCGGTATAAGCGACATTGAGACGAAGTCTATGTAGTAGTGTTTCTATGCTGCGTGTGAGAGAAACGGGCACGGGGAATTTTATCTGAGGGTCGATTTCGTAAAGAATGCAGCGTTTAGAGTGTTCGTCAAACCACGTAGAACTACACTTTGTGCGTATTATTGTCCTTAATATTTCCCGAGTCTCTCCACGGGAAAGGGGGTCTCGTTGATATTGCCCATCCCAGTGTGCCTTTTTGGCGAGGCAGTCTGCCGCTTCATTGCCCGTGAGACCACAGTGTCCTGGGATCCACTGAAATGCAATGTCGTGGCCTGCCTTCATTGCCGCCGTCATTTGAATCAGAATTTTGTAAATGTATCCGCAGTTGTTACTTTTATAGTTCATTGATTGTATAGATGGGAGAGTCACCTGAGAGTCACTGCATATGACCCATTTCTTTATCATGCTTGCCTGCAGAATATATTGTAATGCTGACAGTATAGCATGTAAATCAGCCGCAGTAGAGGATGATCGATGTAATAGCCGGAATGAGCGATGTGTGTCTAAGGATGGTATAACAAATGTAGAATCTGATCCTTGATCGTCGGTAGATCCTCTGTGTACACTTGAGTGAAACTGGGGCACTGATTGTATACGTCGAAAAAAGCCAGTTGTGCTGCCATCATACTGCTCACTGAACGTTTCTTCTCCATTCCATTTATTGTCGTCTGAACTTTCGGCATCGTCAACGTCCAGGGGCAGGTGAGACTATAGTGTTTCCCATTGAGTTTAACTTGGCAGGTGGCGTTGATGTTCTAAAATAACGTTTTGTACTCGTGCGCCTGTTCTGCTCATAAGGTTATAAAAAAAGGGTGGTCGATATGTTGTGTCTTTAATCGAAAGAAATGCCTGTAGGTTCCTTGTATTCGAAGGACCGAGATTGGCGGCTCCCGTGCCTTTTAACACCGGATGTTGTGCATGGCACACCCAGGCAAACTCTTAGACTTTGAGCCGACAAGTAATGTAGACGAGTCTCGGAGGTGCGTGAGAGGCCATGAAGCACTGGTATAGAATAGGCTAGCGTTTTGTGTAAAGTGCTACGTGCAGGTGGAAAAGGGATGATGTTGAGCCTCCCCACTTGGTTCCTACAATGCAGCGTAGGGTTTTAATTATCCTATTAACTTTTTGTTCGATCGCAGTCACGCGGGTATTCCACGTTAGGGCTTGGTACCCAAAAATCGGTCGGTCTTGACAATGTCTAGTGGTTCTCCGTTTACAGAGAGACTGAAGTCTTATAGTCGTTTTAAGGCGAAAGGGAGAATTGCCGATTTCGTCGTAGAGAGGTCCATTCCATGCTCTCTTATTGACACAATAATGTCTAGACCCGTTCTGGAATGATCTTTTAACAATATCAATAGAGAGTGCTGACGCCCAGATGCATATGTCGTCTGCGTAGATGGAATACTATAGCAGTGATGGAAGGAGACGACACAGCTTATTCATAACCGCGTTGAAGAGAGTGGGGCTTAGTACGCTGACCTGAGGAACCCCATTGCGAAGAGTATGTTCCTGGCTTTTGCCTTTGTTTGTGTCCCCGAAAATCTTGCGTTCGTTGAGAAAGTCTGCTATCCAACGCAGGGTGCGACCCCGAACACCGAGCTCAAGAAGTCCATGTAAAATGTGACTATGATTAACTGTGTCAAAATACTGTTTGATGTCGAGAAATAGGGCTACGGTAATATTACCTCGGCTTCTTTTGTGTTCCACATGAGTAATTAGGTTCAGTATACAATCCATTGTGCATTATCGTTTTCTAAAGCCAGTTAAGTGCAGTGAAAGCGCGTTGTTTTCTTAAACCCACCAATGCAATCGCTTGTTTACTAATTTCTCCATAACTTTACCAATACAGCTTGCTAGACTCACGGGACGGAATGACTCCAGTGACATGGGCGATTTTCCTGGTTTAGAAGAGGGACAACTTTCGCTTGTTTTCAGTCCTGTGGTAGATGTTCTTGTTGCCATATGTTATTAAATAGTTGGAGAAGAAGAATGGTTGCTTTAGGTCCCAAGCTTGAAAGGGCTCCGTATGTTATTTATCTGGTCCTGGGGCTGTTTTTTACCGGAAATTGTTTGTAAGGCAGTCCCCAGTTCGGGTATTGTGAATGGGAGATCCAAATCTGAATGAGCTGACCAAAATTGTGCACCTATTGTTTGTTGTACTGCGCTGCATCATGTTGTGAATTCTATAGTACATGTCGCAGCGCCCGGCCGCGTGAGCAATTGGCAAAACGGGAACGCGACAGAACTGCACACGACAGAATAGCACGCGACAAAACAGCACGGTCAAAACAGCACGCATCAAAACAGCACAGCGTCAAAACCGCACGGCGACAAAACAGCAGGCGTCAAAAAAGCAAGCGACAAAACAGCACAGCGTCAAAACGGCACAGCGACAGAAGAGCACGTGCCAAAACAGCACGGCGTCAAAACAGCACAGCGACAAAACAGCACGCATGTAGCAACTTCGAGCGCGCTCTTCACCTCTCTCTGCACGAATATTTTCGAACCTCCTTAACCCTTTCATTTATTGTCGCTAGGTTATAAAGTAATTTATTGGCTATTTCATTGCTAAGTCAGTGTCCGGACTGGTGCTGCTATGTTATTGCTAAAAACACACGAAGTTAGCAGCAGTTACTACTACTTAACTACGCTGATCTCTGAAGAGATTGGGTAGTTAGAGGTGATATCTTCGCGTCGATGTTGAACGCGTTGTCTGTTTTTTTTCTTTTTTTTTTCTTTTTTTTTTTTAGATCTAACGAAAGACGAAAAGTTATTGTGAAAACGAAATCCGTAAGTTCAAGTTATGAACCGTCTGGTTGGCGGCGATCCGGTGAGGTCCCGCAGTACTCGTCGTTTCGTAATTACCACCTAAGCGTAAAACGTCCCCCCCCCCCCCCCCCCCCAAAAAAAAAAAAAAAATAAAAAAATAGCGGGAGATGCACCGATTACACCGATTACCGCGACACTAAAATGTTCCGGAAACACGCGGCTGCAGCTTGCAGGCGAGAAGTTGTGTTGAGTTAAATTCACAGATTATTGCCGACGAAGGCCTCGACCGAGTGGAAACCGGTGAAGCAGAAACATGTCACAGCCTCAATGCTGTTGCCGTACAGCACGGGCTAAGCACATTGTGGCCGCACACACTTTCTGTTTTTTTTTTCTTTTTTAACAACTAACAACAGCACATTGCCGTGCGATTGATACATTTATTGTAGACGACATAACCAGCAAACTTGATCGTCAATATTAGCAGAACTGCTCGAGAAATAGCCAGAATACGCAACAGCAGGGGCTTCGGTACTGCCCAGGGAGCCTTCATGTGCGCATCGAGTATACTCCCCACTCTTAACTTGCTCCCATGAGAACGGATTCGACAAATTGGCCGTCGACGAGATGACCTTCGAGGAATTGGCCGAGACCCTCCATTCCTTTACAGTGCCTACTTTGAGACATGCACTTTTTTAACTCCTTCGCTATATTTAGGGTTCAGCGTTTTCGGCTTAAGCAAATAAAACCGGTAAAAGTACCACAACATCTTTTTCAAAAATTAGGTTTTAACTGAAAAAGGTCAGTATTTTCGAGGGCGTTTGGAGGGGTGGGTGTGGGAATGTGCTTCATTACTGACCTTATGACCACTTCGTTCCGCACTTTTTAGCCTGTCTCCGAGATCGGTTCAACTTTCAACAAAAGTTGAAC